GTACTACATGAGCAATTAAGAAGCACAATTTATGAGCAAAGTATGTCACCAGTTGACGACACTATGGCTGAAGACGTGATTGTAAGCCGTCATAGTCAGTGAAGCAAACAACTCAGTTGCCGATGAATGGCAGATGAATCCTGATGTGAGGCACGTCCATAAGCGAGGGACGTGACAACTTTGCCATGTTAGAAGACTGGCTTTTCCTTTAAATATTTCCTTCTATTTAATGCAACACACGCCACTTTGGAGATCTAAATTTCGGATACTGAGGATAAAGAAGACACGGACAAAAATAGGAAAAACATCACGAGAGCTGAAAATTTTCAAAGGCATGTTTCTGAAACTCGCTAATGCTGACATCAATATATCGTGCTTGCTGAATGGGCGAAAACACAGAATTGTGATCACAAGATCTTGTACAAATTTACTGACAAAAGCTTAGCAAGATACAAAAGCAAACCCCCTGAAACCTCGACGTGGGCTACACTTGTATGCTCTACTCAGCCACCAAACCTTGTCAGTAATAGCTCCTATTTTCCTCAAGTCGCTCTCTGTGAAGCTCCCGGATGGGATGTCCCGGAGAAGCTTTAAACTTGTGTGCGAAATTCTCAGAGTTCCTATTTTTGTCCGTGTCTTCTTTATCCTCAGTATCCGAAATTTAGATCTCCAAAGTGGCGTGTGTTGCATTAAATAGAAGGAAATATTTAAAGGAAAAGCCAGTCTTCTAACATGGCAAAGTTGTCACGTCCCTCGCTTATGGACGTGCCTCACATCAGGATTCATCTGCCATTCATCGGCAACTGAGTTGTTCGCTTCACTGACTATGACGGCTTACAATCAAGTCTTCAGCCATAGTGTTGTCAACTGGTGAAATACTTTGCTCATAAATGGTGCTTCTTAATTGCTCATGTAGTACATCGATCGATAGTTCACGAAGTAGCCACAGCGTTCCAAACCTGACGCTCACAGTCATCTTTTCAGTCCAGGGGCGGATCTAGGGGGGGTGCAGGGTGTGCGCATCCCCCCCCCCCCCTGAGATGACCTGCGGTTTTCTAATACAACTGGCCTGCCAAAAAAAAAACTATGTGGTTTATTGGTGTTGAAGTAGAGCTAGAGACGAGTGCACCCCCTCCTAAGAAAAATCCTGGATCCGCCCCTGCAGTCTTTCAGTGTGAACCTACCGTGAACGGCGTGTCGGTTTGAATGCAATGCGAGCATTTCTCTGAGTTTCCCAGCGCCAACATCATCTAACTGACTTAAACTCGAACAGTAAAAAAATTATAGAGTTACTCTCATGGTCGAATAGCTTCGAACAACGCAAATAGCCTTCTTCAGGTTCGCAACGCCTTGTGGGTTTTTCAGGGGGAGCGCAGACAAGGTACAAAAAGTATCCGTGCAAGGGTTCATGCAAGAGAAAACCCTATGAAACCATTTGTGAGAACATCGTTTCTACGTACCAGACCCTCGTGTTTTCCCTCCCCCGGATGACCACTTTGTGACACCGACGACCGAAAACCCATTTTATGACTGGGCTTGCCGGGCAGCCCAGTAAATAGCAACATTTGCCTCTCGGAGACAGCGTACCAGCACAAAGGAACGAGGAAGAAGTGCAAGAAAACAATCAAGCCGCCATAATTCAGTGACAGCGGCAGTGTCTAATGGACAAACCACATCGCAAGCCCTGACCGAAGTCGAAAACAACCAACATTTCTAGGAAGAGTCCCAGTCCACTGCATCACACCTTTTAGCTCGGACGCGCTCGTTTCACCGCCCAACCTTTATCCGCCCTGGTGGAAAGTGCGAGTGCCGAGTCACGCATCAGTGAGCAAATACAGTATTATGCAAACAAAAATTATGTAAATTTGTGGTTCATCTTGTTACAAGTAACCAAAGGTTTTAGGTTTCAAAAGAACAAAAATGTTCGCTTCATTTCTGGCAACTTTTCATATGAACGATTTTCGTGAAAAAGTAAAAACAATACGATGTGGTCTATATATTTTAATCAGCAAACACGTACAGTATAGGTGTTTAGAATTTACCTTATTGAAACACACGTGACCAATATTTGCTAAAACCATAATAAATTTCTCACTGGAGTTCAGGATCAAAACCTTTTGTTTTCGTTCCTCACAAATGATTATGAAGCAAAATTTAGACAGATAGCTTTCTCTGAATCAGTAAGAATTAGTCACAGACACCATTTACCTCCAAAGGTTTTTCAATATCTGCTTTAGATACGCGGGATCTCAATACGTCTCGTCTGACATGTAATGCGATACTTCGTCTTGTTTATGCAGATTTCACTTCGTCGGAGCGCCTTTCGGTCCGCAGGAATTTACTAGGAATTTAAAACATTTTGTCTTACAATACTTCTGGAATTTTAATTCTCCGAAAAATCTTCACTTGCCCGTCGGGCAAGTTAAGCACAGAATTGCACAATCCACTAGCCCCGGGCTATCAGACACGACTTTCTTTGCACGCTGGGGTAAATAGACCTTGTCACGGTTTTGTATAATATGCGAGCCAGCGAGCCAGCGAGTCAACATGCGAGCCATGCGAGTCAGCATAAAATAGCTTTGTTTTTAACGTAAACTACAAAAATACTAGCCTCTGTAACTAAGTAACGAGCAGCTTCCCCATCAGTTGAAAAATCTACCTTCCCAGTCAACGACTCTGCATTTTCTGCTATATACTGAACTGCAGAAGCGCATGCATCTCGACCTGCAAGGAGTTCATTTTGCTCTTTTTCTTCTCGATCAGCTGCAGTGGGACCCTCCCCGACTGTTTTTTAACCAAGAACTTGGCGCTTGATTTCAGAAGCTTCAAGAATTGCAGCTGAACTTTCTCAAAAATTAATGACAATAAAAAAAACAAAACTTACCTTAACAAAAGTTGAAAAAGATGAAGGCAGATAACAAAACGATATTGAAAGGAGAGCGAGGATAGCGAAAACTCATGCCAAATAGCCAAAAGCCGAAGAAAGGAAAATGGACTGGGAACTAACATCTGTCTCGCATGGCTCACATGATGACTCGCATGACTCGCATGACTCGCTGGCTCGACTCGCATGACTCGCTGGCTCGCACTTTGTCCAGACTCACGCCATCTTGATGAGTAGGCAAACGTGTGAGAAATTACAGTGTTTGTATGAGAATCTAATCTCGAATGATTTCCCTAAAACGACTGTTCTGAAAAAAATATCAATTGTAAACTAAAACTACTAAGCAAAGGATTGCACTAAAAAATTTTGGGGGCGTACCTGTGCTTAAATTTCTCTAGAGGCTTGCTTTAGATTTTCCATATATTTGTCTGTAATTTTTCCCGGGACTTTCTTACAGACAAATGTATCGGAAATTTTAAAAAGTGGTTCTAGGTCTTCTAGCGTATGTAACGCCCTAAATTTTTTTCAGTAGAACTATTAGGAGTGAAGCTTTAGTTTACAATTGATATTTTTTTTCAGAACAGCCGTTCTACGGAAATTATTCGATTTCGAATAATTATTCTATTTCGAATTATTCGATTAGATTCTCATACAAACACTGTAATTTCGCACGCATTTGCCTACTCGTCAAGATGGCGTCGAAAACCGTGACAAGGTCTATTACCGTAAATAACGTTTATGATGAGCGCGAAAGAGGCGAAAACAAAGCGCAGCAAAGATCTTTTTTCTGTATTAACGAGAAAAACGTTCCTTGGTCTCTATACGTCTTAGTTTTGGAAAGTCTTGGTTCTCTCGTAACACACTGCATTGTTATGAATGATCAAGACATTTAAGATCGAAGTAAACTTACAAAAACACAGCTCAATCTCTTGATGATCGGCGGTGAAACTGAACTTGCTGCTATCAACAGTGATGACTAAATTATAATCAGCCATCACCGTTGTTTCTTAACAGAACTTGAAGATAAATCATTAGTTCAGCACTCTCAATTTTGAGGAACTTCGCCGGGGCCCGGTAGGGGGTCTCTGAGAAAAAGAGGAAGCTTCAGAACTCTGGAATCAACTACAGTTGAATTGGACGGCGGAGCGCGCCTTAGAGCGCTTTCCATTGTTAGAATTAGTACTATCCAGCGAGATCACTCTATTCTCAAAGACGCCTTAAAGGGTTTTTTTCGGCAGTGGTGGGTTTTAAAGAAAGTAGCCTGCGTAGCAAGCGTTTCTGATCGAGTTATTGCGCGAACGATGGACCGGAGAGAGAGGGCCAAAAAAAGGGGGGATGGGGGGGAGGGAAGGAGAGAAAAGGCTTGCTCTCGACGACCTCGCGCTGAAACCCAGGAGGGGACACTGCTATATATGGGATGTAAAGGTATGTGCCGCTGTGAAGGCAACCTCGTCCCCTGGGTTTTTTTCCCTTAAAAAAAGGGTGGGGCGGCCCCACCCATTTTTTAAGGGAAAAGCCCTGGGGACGGGCGGGGTTGCTGTGAAGGGTATGGTTTTCAGGCACGGTTTAGTCTGGGATAGGGTATAGAAATCAAAACGTTTGGGTCTAGAATAGGGTATCATTTTCCAGGAAACTGATCAGTCGGTTGAAGATTTTAGTCAGAGAAACTGAGCTGCCAATTAAACAAAAATTGGAAATTGAAAATCTAAATTTACCCGCAGCTCAGTTCAATAGCATGAAAACGCCCACCACCTTTCAGCATAAAAATACTGTGTACCTGAAATTAAATGCCCAAATATACTGTATACCCAAAACCCTGGCCGACCCTAGCTGATGGTGTGATTAAAACTACGCAAAACCCCTTTTTGGTCGATAGTATTTGCTTATCGTCAATAAGTTATAAAGTATTCCTAGCAATGGCGGTTAGTGTTTCCGAAATGTCGAGAAGGAGCATCTTTGTACCTTGCCACTGGACCTTAGGGGATAGAGAAATGCCTGGGACGTCGTCTGGGGCGAGACCTGACTGCAAAAGACTGGAACTACAGTAGAAGAAACAGTAAATGCTGTTTCTTTGATTTGTCGACGCACCGCTTTCGACCTTTTTTTATTGTGGATAATGAATTTTTCCACTGCTGAGCACCTAGATTTTCGGCAGTACTGCATTACAACACATGGATCAATCGAACATTTGATACATAAAGCCGAGAATGGCGAAATCGTGGCCCAAGCAGATTTGGGAATTGCTTACTCGGAAGGATTTGGCGATCTCTTACCTCAAGATATCGACGAAGCAATTCGATGGCTCAAAACTGCTGTAGACAGCGGTTATGAATTTCCAAGTATCCTTGAAACACTCGGCAAATTGCTAAATTTGAAAGGAACGCTACCAAGTCGACGAAAGGCGTACGAGATGTACCACAGGGGAGCGAAACTTGGGTCTGTAATTTCCCAGATCAATCTAGCAGAAATGTATCGATGTGGTGTTGAAGGAGTCGTGAACAGAGACATCAAAGAAGCTTTCAAATGGTATAAAATAGCGGCTGATGAAGATGTGAGTGCTTATCGAAGTAATGTGGGGGTCGATAAATTGTGTTCTGTAACGATGACCATGGGAAACGCCGTCCTTACAAGATACAAGGCTTTGGAACTTATATACAAATATTACCTAGAAGGTGATTGTCCGGAAGGCAAACCACAACCAACGAAAGCCGTTCACTATTTGACTAGAGCAGCTGAACAGGGTCATAATGAGGCACAGCTAAAGCTGGGACAAATCTACTTGACCGGAAGTTGCGAGCAAGTCAAAGACATTGCAAGAGCAAAAAAACGATGGTTCAGAAAAAAGCTTTAGCAGGTGGCGATGAAAGGGCAAAACAGGTAAGATATGATGTATAGGTCGATTCACTCCCCTCCTCATCCTCCAGAAACATCCTTTGTAGACGTAAGTTCACTTTGATGCAGGGAATATTTACGATAATTTACTGCCATCATCAAGAATAATGCAGTTTGTCTTAGTCGTTTAAAAAGCGTATCAATGCTGTCAATACAATCTTATATTATGTCTCCATAGCACACTGTGATCAGGGTCCGGACTAAGGGGGTTGGTTGAGGGGTGGGGGGAGGCGTGGGACCCTAATTCCTTGTTCACAAAATCCTGTAGGGGCTTCGCAGGAGACTACGTGTAATTTAGGTCATGTATGTACATGAGCAGCCTAGATTACCTGTTCCCCAAGCCAGCCTCATTTGAGATTTTCGGATGTAAATAAGTTTGTGTATTTCGCCTTTATTGCCTTGATTTCATGGCCCTTAAATGGGCGATTCCAGAAAATATCCATACCATACCACGGACGGCTTTTAGGATTTCCGAAGGGGAGGGGGGGTTCACGATTATGGAATTCTGAGGGCATGGGGGGTATTTACGATTGGAAATCCGAAGGCATGGCGGAATTCCACAGGTGGGATTTCTGGAGTAGAAAGTGTAGAGTGAGTTCCTTGAAAACGCTATTGTTGTGGACTTTTGTAGTTCGTAAATAAACCAAGAACGTATGACCGCGGAAGCAGAAGACAAGCATCGATAGATCAGACACGTGTTTATGCTCATAACTTATAGAAGTGAACAGTAAAACGTGGGTTTCACATTAACCTTGATGAATTTCTTGTCACATGAAAAAAAACACGGAATATGTATCTTACTGCTTGCAAGTTTCTTGATACTCCCGTCCGATGAACAGTAAAAAAACTCGCACCAGTCCCTGGCTTCCAAGGAACGCCTGTCAGATTAGAACACTTTTCGTGCACACTACATGACATATAAAAGGACGCAGCACGCCTCGACGGTATATTTGACCACCGAAAGATTTTAACAGTCTGAATTTGAGCTATTTTGCTTTGTAAACGTCAAAACAGCACAAGAAAGCAAAGAGGAGTAAAATTGTTGTTAGTGGTGTTTATTTTTATTGCCAAATTCGGACCTAAAAAGGAGTTTTCACAGCCTGTCTGCTAGCGGTAGGTTAAGAGTCTGAAAGCTTGTCGCCTGGCGCCGGTAGATCACAGCCTTGAGGAGGCATAAATTCATGTTCGTTTGTTCATATAGGCGTTGCTAAGTTGAAAATGTACTTCCCAAAAAACGGAAATTCTGAAGGGGAGGGGGGGTTCACGATTATGGAATTCTGAGGGCATGGGGGGGTAACGCATTTTGGAATTTCCGAAGGCAAGGGGGGGATAAAACATGGAAGCCGTCCGTGGTTGGGTATGGATATTTTCTGGAATTGCCCAATGCAGGCCCTTTTGTTCACAGCCAATCGATTCAGAATTACACTCCAAAGGGGGAAAAAAGTATCCTCTAGAACACTTGAATATTGATAAAGTGGGCTGTGGAAAAGTTAAGGTGGAGAAATTCTGTTTCATGTAGAAAGCTATGTTTTCACGAGTGGAGAGTATGAATGCAAGTGAAGGTCAACACTTCATTTCTCAGAATGTTCTGAAGCAATTCCTGGAACTCTACGGTATATAAATTCTGTGTTTTGGCTAAATTTGTATTCAACCAGGCTTTGTTGTACGATGGAACCTCGTTAATACGGTCACCAATGGGCCAAAAAAATTGGCCGTATTAACAGGGTGGCCATACTACCAGGGTAGGCTCAAATTTCATGACTTGAGGGCTGTAATGACAAATACACCAAGAGTACACCACACATCGCATTCACTGTACTGTTCTCATTAATAAACAACCGGAATGTAGATACATGCATTGCGTACAGTATTTGGAAAAACTTTTTAAAGTTCTCCTTCAGTACATGAAACTCTTTTAAAGTTCTGCTATAAATCGCCACGAGTGCATTTTCAGTGTACTGTAGTCTAAAAACAGTACAAGAAAAAATAAGCCCAGCTAACTAGATTAATAAAATTGACATGTCACAGGCATTTAAATTTTCTAAATTTCAATCGAGTGGCCGCATTAACGGGATGAAATTATAAGGGATTCTACTGTTTGGAATTTTAAAATGTGGCCATTGGCTGTATTAATGGGTGACTGCATTAACAGGTTTTTTTTATAAGAAAATGTTTGGTTGTTTTGCTGGGCTGAAAAAAAAACTGGCCATAATAATGAGGTGACCGTATTTATTGAGGTGGCTGTAAGGTGGGGGTTCTACTGTATTTATTTAAGCTTAATAGAGAGAAGTATGACATCATGTTACCATGGTAGCAAAATTTTTGGATGACAACAAAAGGGAGCTTAGGCAACAGTGACAGCGATGGCAACGAGAATGGCAAAAAAAGTTTATGTTAGTAGTAAAATGTTATATACACAGCAGAACCAAAGATTGAAAATGATTTGATACCCTCATGAGTATAATGAAGCAGTTTATTTTTGAACTTGATTGGAAATTCACTCTTTCACTCACTGGTGTTCTCTAAACCTTACACCTGTAGACTGTTTTTTTCCTTAATTTTTAGGGGCTCAAAACATGGTTCGAGTTATAGAGGGTAAAATTATATACATTTAGAGATGACCTGAGGGGAAACAAAAACTACTTTGAGTTAGCGGGAGGTTGGAGTTATCTAGGGCTCGAGTTACCTGGGGTAAAATTTACAGTAAATGTGTGACGGACGGAAATCTAGGAGAAATCAATTTTGGTTTGAGTTAGTGCGAGGTTGGAATGAGCAAGGGTTTGAGTTATTGGGAGTCAGCTATAGTTATTTGACACTATTAATGGCAAATCAAAAATAAAAAAAAAATTGCAGCCGATTCAAACTACAGTAAAAACCTGCATATAACAACCTATTGATTTAAGAACCTATAGGCTGAAATTTGGCATTTAAATACCCAAACATACAAGAGCCTGTTCAGCGTGGCAAATGAAAATAGGTTCTTATATTAAAAAAGAATCACTCCAAATTATTTTGATGGTCAAATGCTTGATTTTTAATGTGTAAGAAACTTCTGATAAAAAGTTATTGTGAATATGTTTTCTTTGATTTAACATTTGTCTGACGACTTTCACTAGAAATATTTTTCCACAAAGTTACAGTTTGCAATATAGATGATTTGAAATCTAAATATCTTATAAATTAAAATATTGATATGTATTGATGCTCTTCTTGGACCTTGCTTGTTTTATTATCAACCATTATGTATAAGTAGTGCAATATTTCTGCCAATGGTTACACTGTGACAACCTCTGAAAAATAAGAACCTATTAAGAACCTAATCAGCCTGAATTGTGAAAAACTACCCTAAACTATAAGAACCTGTTCAGCCTCACCTCGAAAATTCTAGTATCTTATATGCGGGTTTTTACTGTATTTGAAAATATGCCATACTTTACTCACAGCACTTCACTTTCCATTGGAAACTACTAGTTGTAAGTAGTAGACTGGCTTTTTTGAGTAAAATGTTGAATTTACATGAGTTTCAAGTCCATTACTTTTCATTCCTCAGCATTAAAATGGGAGTCATAGTTCCTCACCACCTACAAACTGAGAGAGAGAGAGGCTTGATATGATAGTGTGTGTCCTGCAGTGCTTGTGACATATTGCTCACATCACCTCTCATTTCTTCATCCAGCTTAAAATTTACCATCTTTCTTTATTCATCACGCAAAATTAATGACAATTCCGGCATTGCTGATTGTAGCAGTATGCAGGACACATGTCTTACATGAACCTTGATATGGTGCAGCTCACCACGAGTCCTTCGTAGCTCAGTGGTTTGAGTGTATGTATCAAATAAATATCAGTGTCTTGGAGCATCCTGTTTCCTTGTATAAGTGTATCAAACTCATATTGCCAACTCATATATATATATATATATTTTTTTTCTTTGTGTCATTCGCTTTTTTTAGCCTAGAACTATGATTAGTACGACTATCTAATATATTTGTTTTAAGATTTACTGTAGCTCTGCCATTGATTTTCCCATGTGTATTTATGATAATATTTTGTTCTAATTATCTAACTGATAAGCCCAATGGCTTCTCTTGGGCTTCCTCGCCATGAGAGTTTAAATGATTAGATTTTTTTTTTGCTTTGTACAACTTATGGCAAACAAAACAATAAACAATAAACATCTTGTGCTCTCAGGGGAAGGGTCTCAACGGCACTGCCTACCTTTTCCACTCTAGCTATCATTGCTTCAGGGTTTTCTCTTACATATTTTACTCCTTGTGACTTAGTCTGTTAATGCCTTAAAGGGATTTTTAAATTACTTCTGAAATTTCTGTAGCTCTTTGTGTTCATTGTGAAAGAGAACATTATATTTTTCTTGCTGAGAGAGGAGGGGTTTCCTCCCCCCTTTCTTGTTACTGCTAACCCCTTGCTGTTTAGACTGTTTATCCCTGCCTACTTTTCTTTGTGCTTTCCCCACTATCTGAACACCTGGAACAGGCTTTTCTGGCACTGCAGGACTTGCCTGTGGCTGCAGGAAAGAACAACACCAAAACTAACAGTCTCACTGTCTTATTCATACTTAACAATTAGTGAATGAGGCTGAGTATCTTTTGAAGAATTATGGAGATCAAGGAGGGTGTTACCCAAGGCGGATAACACCCTCCGTGATCTCTATAATTCTTCATATGATACGAAAGCTAAATTCAATAATTATTTTAATATTCATTCAAAATAATTCCTAGTTTAAAAACATGGTTAAAACATGCTTACTTCCATCAATCGCGATGTTAAGTTCCTCTTCGTTAGTGCACGTTTAGGGTTGTTCAGCTCAGCAAATATTCCCCAAATAGCAGATGTCACCCTTGGAGTTGTCTTCTTGCTGTTCTTGCCATGTTTTTAGCTATTATTTCGCCTAGTTCTTACTCTTGAAATGAGTGAAATGTCTGCCTTTTTTGTTTGCACCACTAAAACAGCTCAACCTCGTCCCCAGGTCTTCTTAGTTGGCTACATGTTGCTTAACTGTGAATTTTTGAAAGAAAAAAAAAACAACAACAACAAGAAAATTAAGTCTTACCAGCAATCCATTTTATTTTAAAATTGTGTGAGACAAAACAACAGTGGCTTCTCCAGTTAAGCTCTTAATTTAAGGGTTAGGGCAAGCACCTCCATTACTGCAGAGCAGAGTTTCTATAGCTACTTCACTTGGATTTGTGCTCCTTGGCCGCCTTAGATGTTAGTTAGAGTTGGAGTAAGGGACGTCTTCCTCTTGCAGTGGCAGACCCAAGGGGAGGGTCCGGGAGCCCCCATCAGACCTGATGCTTGTTTGAGATTGAAATTCTTACATCGACAGGATCGTATATCACTTTTTTACTGCCTAATTTTTTTAATGAAACGCGCGTTGCATTTTGTCACTAAACTAAATTCCAGGGACATTCAGAAATTTAATTGGTTTTGGGTACCCTTCTATGGTCTGAACCAAAGTTTGGACCCCCTAATAAAAATTTCCTGGATCCGCCCCTGTCTTGTACGCTTTATTCTTAACCTCAGTTATGTAAATAATGGAAAATTGAGCCTATACCAATTAAGATATAATATAACAACTTTTTGTTGGCCGTCTTCATTTTATTGATATTAAACAAAATGGCTGTTCTGTTTCAGCTTCTTAGACAATGTGAAGAGTCAGGTGCTGGTTCACAGTGTGCTGTTTCACAGCTTACGTCTACTGAATTAAGTAAAGACTCTGCAAAACAGGCATTTGAAATCTTACTGGACAAAGTGACATGTGAAGCACAGCAACATCCATTGACACTTTTTAAGCCTATGGCCTTTTCAGAAGAAATGCTAATTAAGTTTGATTGGTCCCCAACGGCAAAACAATATCTTAAGGCATTTAAACTGGTGAAAGAAGGCTTTGAAATCCTTTATAAGAGTAACTTTACTGATGGAAAGGGGATATCTCTTATAGCCCATGGGTTCTTGACAGAAAGTACAATTTTACAAGGATTCCCTCAAAGGCAATTTTTGTGGTCCAGAATCCATCAACTTAGTGATAAGATCTTGCAAACTAATCCAAATTTTTTTGAAGGGGCTCTTTTGTGGTACGCTTTTCATCCTTGTGAATCACGAGTTTCAGAGGAAAGTGCTAAAGTTGACTCAAAAAAGGTAGCATTTCTACTAAACATGATTAACTTAATCAAAAGAGCTGAACCTCACAGCTCTCCTTGCAAAAATACTTTTGAGTTTGATAAGAACTACAGTAGCTGGCTTCATGTCTTATATGTGTTTGTGGGATCATTTTATGTAGTTGCTAGTGCATACCAAGAGGCAGCTGAAGCTGCTGAGAATTCTCTCAGTTGCTGTCCAGCTTTCTTTGAAGCCAAGAGGTTGCTTGGGTTTTCCTTAAGGGCAATGTTTTCTTCCAAGTCAAACCCTGAAGAAAAAGATTCTCGACCAAATGTATCCACAGGATTGATGCCTACTCAAGCCAGTAATAGACAGACATCAAAGTATGCTTCTTGGACAACTCAAAAGTTAAAAAACACTGCGGCAAAGGTGTTGAAGGAGTTTCTTGTTGAGGCCCCACCATGTGACAGATTTTACCCAAATGTTTATTATTATCTGGCGGATCTTGCATTTGTTGACATGGACTTTCAGGAATTCAAAAAGTATTATGAACTTGGCCAAGATGCCGAAGAAAAACGACTTCCATTTTTGGATCCTGTTGATCTTGCATTGAAAGATTGGATGGCTCCTGTTTATCAGCTCCTTCCCCAAATTGGAAGCCTTGTTGCTAGGTGTGGCAATAAAGCCTGTACTAGGAAAGTCGAGAAAACTGAATTGAAGTCTTGTGGTGGCTGTGGAAGCCAACAATACTGTAGCAAGTAGGTAGAATCAACAATTACTAGCCTTACATTTAAAAAATCAGTTTTGGGGACCCAAAAAGTCCCGTCGCATCAATTTTTTGCAATTATTTCATTTCTATTTTGGGTACCAACTCCGCATAAATTTTCGCGCTACCCTAAAAAGAGCCATTAGGTCGACCAAACATGAACAGTTTGTGTTTATGATAGGATGAATGACTACTATGGGTTTTGTGGTGGTAATGATGATGGTGATGATGGTGATGATGATGATGATGATGATGATGATGATGATGATGATGAAGGGGGTGGTGGTGGTGGTGGTGGTGATGAAGATGATGGTAATGATGATAGCGATGGTGATGATGATGGTGGTGGTAATGATGATGGTGGTGGTGGTGGTGTTGGTGATGATGATGATGATGAAGGGGGTGTTGGTGGTTGTGTTGGTGATGAAGATGATGGTAATGATGACAGCGATGGTGATGGTGGTGGTGGGTGTGATGATCATGATGATGAATAGGGTGGTGGTGGTGGTGATGATGATGGCGATGGTGATGATGATAGCGATGGTGATGATGATGGTGGTGGTAATGGTGATGGTGGTGGTGATGATGATGATGATGATGATGATGATGATGACGACGACGACGATGGTGCTGGTGGTGGTGATGATGATGATGATGATGATGATCATGAGGGCTTTTGAAATCAAAATTAGTTTCTGGAAAGTCCTAGTGATGTTTCGGTCCCCAAGCAACTATTAAAATAAAAACTTTAAGAATAAAAGTGTGTGTCCTAGGTAATACACCAATCCATTCCGTTTTGTAAACTGATGTTTTTATTACAGAGCATCTGGAAATTAATCAACTCTCATAACTGAAACGTAACAGTTTTGGAAGAGTAATTGATGTCTTGTCATCATTTGCAGAGACTGTCAAAGAGCGGACTGGAAAAATCACAAAGCTTCTTGCAAAGCACACAGAGGACTCAAGGCAAAATATTCTACATAGAAAACTGTTCTTGTTTTGAGGATCATAAGAATTCCAAACCCTTCGTTCAGGCCCCTTTGTCTTCTAATGGCGACTGTCCCTTGAAGATAACGACAGCGGCCGTGGTACATGCTTTGTATGCTTATCAGCTAAGTCGTTTTTCTTCTATCAGGGTTCGTACAGAGTCTTGAATTCTTGAAAAAGTGTTAAAATTTGCCCAGCAATTTTACAGACCTGGAAAAAGTCTGGAAATTGGAGATAAAATCTGGAAAAAAAGGTAAAAAGAGGGCTTTTTTTTTCAAAGCTACAACAAGTGCTTTATAAGTTTTGGTCAAATCTTATTCAATCTCTCTCGTGTGTTTGCAGCACACCACGAAAAGAGCTTTGTTGCTGCGTTTTTTAAGGTCTCTATTGATCACCTGTTTGATAACCTTGAGTCTGAAAAGGAAATTATTGTTTTGGAAAAAAAGGCTTGAATTTTGGATCCAAAAATCTGCACGAACCCTATTCTATGTTTAATCGCGTCGTTTCGTAAAAGGACATTGAGAACTGAATTAAGGGTGGTTTTCACTAGCCAGGGAGTTGGAGTCATTAGCGGAGTCATAATGGGAGTCATAGGTCATAAGTCGGAAGAATGAGAACATTCCCTTTTTCTTCTGACTCCGCCACTTCTAGCGTAAAGTAGATTGTCGGAGTCGGAAGCAGAAGCGGAAGGATAGCAGCAGCCACAACAATAATCTTTTATTTACACACTCTAAGAATTTTTACACGACAAATGTTGTGTACAATAGGAGTTTAAGATAAGATAACAATTAAAAAAATTAAAATTAAGTAATTGCTTGGAGCCTCGAGTCTAAAGGAAGTAGGAGGCTATTTAAGTTCATTCCTTTTTTAAAAAAGAGAAACAAGGCTAGAAGAATTGGGCCTGGTAAATTATGAATAGTTACGTTTCAATTAATACTAAGTTTCTATTCAGTTTTCTTGGAGTAATGTTCTGACAGCAAATAACGTAAAGGAAAATGTACATGTGTCTTTTAGGTGATAAGGAATATGGCACAAGAGATCTATTGCCTTACCCGATTCGGGACATCAATCACAAGAACCAACCACAATGCCGTTTCCACGCTTTGTGATTGGTTAAGTTCTTCTGCTTGGGACTCCGACAATCTAGTTATGATATAGATAAGATCATAAACGACGGAGTCGTAAGAGGAATCGAACGCTTTTTTCACTGGATAGTATAGCTCTACCACCGCGGTCAAACGTCTAAATCGTTATTTTTGTTTTTTATTGCTGGGATTTCATTTACCAGTTAGAGAAAAATGGGCAAAGATGTATAAATCAGTTAGTCAACATAACTATCTTTCCATTTTTCTCAAAATTTTGAGCTTTTTTCGCTGAAAACGTTTCGCGCTAAAAGAGAATCATGTTTGAAAATGGCGCCGATAATAACGTCAGCATCAGTTTTCAATCACTTAGAACTTTTTTAGTAAACTTTTAAAAAGTTTAGTAAACTAACAGGATGTTGGTAATACCCTAAACTTTCGATAGTGAAAGTAGCAAGCTTGACTTTGAAGTATTTCGCTTAACTTTTGCAAATTTCACTCGTTTGACCGCTGTGAAGTATAGCTCTACGCTTGATAACGACTCCGACTTAGACTCCCTCGCTGGTGAAAACCAGCCTTTACTCAATATACCACTATACTGAGCTCTGCTTTTGAAGGCAATAGCAACTACAGTAGCTCTGATGATGTATTTTGGATTTGTTTGTTCTAACTAAGGTGCGGTTCAAATTTCACATGGCCCGAATTTTATGCTATTGAGGAAAATCTTTTGTTCTCGCTCATTTGAATTAGATTCGGCACCCGTGAAATGCGACGTTTGAACCGGGTCTTAGGCCCGTTTTAAACATCTTGTAACTGCCGTGCTAAACTTGACTTATTAAATAAATTCGACTTTAGCAAAGTAGCACGACTGGTTTCAAACGACGTGCAACTGCAGTGGGAACTCAATTTATAAATTATGGATACATTAGAACACATTTTCAAAGTTGGCCATTAAAACAACGTTATTTTTTACGTTTGATTTAGGACAATAGGTTTTTCATGCGGATGAATTGATTTCAGCGTCTGAAATCAAGTCGTGCTACAATCGAGCCAGCTCAGCACGGGCCACGACAAAACAGTGACCCCCGGTTAACATAACGTATGAAAAGGGCACGTATGCTCAGGATGATAACGTTTGAAGTAAGAATTCCTTATCTGAAATTGAATTAACGCCTTGCTCCCACATTTACAGTTTCTGCAAGCCCTGTCTACACGAACCCGGATATTTTTGAAATCGCATAATTTTTATACGAATTGGCCCGTACCTCCATGCGAAACCAGTGAATCCACTCACCGAAACCGAATCTTTTTTAAACTGCTCTCCAGTTCTCTAGAGTGATTTTTCTGGATCAGACCGATTTGGCAAATTCGTTTAGACGACTGAAACTGGATATGTTTTAACTACGCCATAAACACGGGTCCAGACTTAAAAGAAACCTTGCAAATTCAAAATGGCGGACAAAAGCCTTCTTTTTACTTGGATAGGGACAGCTTCCTTATATCAGAATATCTGGATTGAAGCGATTGCCAGTCGACGATTTCCATTGACTTCGATACCTTGTAGTCGGTGGTTATTAAGTTCGGCTTCATCGTCGCTCCAGACGAATGAATCGGCCTTTGCCTCGTTATTTCTTATGATGTGAAATATTGATTAAGAGCGCTAGACCCAGGAAAGTTACAGCCAGTGTGTGCTCGATATGGCTACAACAACATGAAAAAATGCCGCGAAATCACATCCCATGCTCGGTTTTGGCATGCCCGCTAGCAGGTAGGTAGTTAGCAAATGGAAACCGTCGGGATGTGTGAATCTAAACCGGATACACCTCACCGAATTCGTGGTAACGAATATCAAGTATACGATTACTGCCTATCCGGATTCGTGTGGCCGGGGCCTTAACCTGTCACCGCAACTACGATAAATCGAATTAAAGAAAAGCAATCATCCAAACAAACGGTGCTGATAAATTAGTTTCTTGTGACAAATATTAATGTACATGTATGCTGCATAAACATATAGGTAATTACTTTAAAGTAGTAACCTCAGTATATCAGGTGGTTTTCACGTTCATACTTAGTAAATCACTTTACTTGTATTTACACAATAATTAACCCCTAATTATTTGCGCCAATTTTTTACATCGTCGAATTCTACGTATAGTCTACGTAACAGTAATTTCGTTTTACCCAGGTTTAATACTATCTCATACGGTAACAGTCTATTAAATATCTTGGACCTAGGTTGTGGTCCAAATTGCTTAAGGAAGTTAGAAACCTCAGGTCTCTTTCTGAATTTAAAACCAAAATCCGAAAAAATGATCTTTCAGTGATATAGACTGATTACAGTTCTCAGGGTGCTTTCTGTGAAATACTTAAATTATTTGTTATATTTTAGTCACTTGTTGTACTACATCCATATTATTACATCAGAGTACCTTTAAATCAGAATGCCTTCAATGATTTATTATGCATATTCACTTATTATGCTACATCAATACCACGTAAGTGCCTTTACTTTAACATTCCGATCCTATTAATAATATTTTAAGAAATTGGCGTAGGTCTCTAGTGTCCCCAATTAGTGGTTCTTTTTAACTGCTACAATGACTGTGACACTGTAATAAAGTTGTCATTATCTTATCTTATCTTACAAACTAGGGTCTACCTAAAACAGCACATAGGTTTTGATTCATACGCGAACCTGCTGCGACAGAAGATGTTTTGAAGAATCGGATAGAAACCTTTGAACCCTGTAATATTACGTAACCCGAGAAATCAGCTGAGGAAATTATGACCACCTCCACGACCGAGGAACATTGAACTTTGATGTCATCAGGCGGTTTCCAAATAGACTTTTCCTTCGTTCTTGTAACCAAAAGCCCCATATCGAGGCTTGTGGTGACAAAAATATACTGTTTTGAATTAAATTGTTTACCCAGTCCAACTTGTTTCACAGTGGAATGGAATGCCGAAAAGGTCTGTAATCATCACGTTTAAAGGAGTAGGGCAGGAACACCCCAAAAAACCCAACAACGGAATCTCAACGTATTCTTATAAAATTGTCATCAGTTGAAATTGCATATCCAAAGCGCTTCGTTTTCTAGAGATATTAAAACTTTTGGTTACTGCATTTCTCTCCCACAAAACGCCATTCCAAATATCAAAATTTACGAACACTGAGGGGGCTGTTGGGGGTACAAGCTCCCGTGAACAACTTCATAGTTGTTTTGCACATTTAGAAGAAAAATGCAGCGGATGCAGTGGTTAATTATTGCAGGATATCTGTAAACAAATTGAGAGAGTAACGTCAAGACAAAGGGGGTGAGTCATGAATTTTTGGACCACTACTTTTCTCCGTCCCCACCCCCATACTTTTTGTCCAATCTGTCATTTAATCCGAGCCTGTCAGGTTTCTCGGCCACTAAATACCATGGGCCTGCCTTTATCTCTGTTCAAGACAAATTCTCTTCTCACTACTGGTCGTCACCCTAACCACATTGCTGTTCCTCCATTATTGCTCAAGGAGCCCCTTTCCAATCGTTATCTGGTTTGTAGCTCTACTTTAAATTTTCTCTCTGTGCTCAGCACTTCTGCTTCCATATATGACGGGTTTACCCCCTTGTCCTTTGATTGCAGCTGTGTAATGAAAACGAAGATGTTCTTCTTGACCAAATTTACTTGGACCATGGCTACCAATCCTGATACGGAGCCAGGTGGTCGAGAAAAATCATTAGTTTGTCTTCTTTTTCAGCAAAGATGGCCCAGAAAAAAACCTGTTTACTAGTGAATTTGCTTAGCTCTTCCAAAACGCCGCATTCCATTATCACGTGGAAAATTTGTGCGCTTTGAATGCTGCAAACCAGAGTTTGGCTTTTGTCATAAAGGAACATCAACTGCAACGGATGGCTATTAAGATGCTGGGTTTGAATCTTAACCATGAACTTCTCGTTTCGATTGGGTTTAGGGCCTTTTCTCGTACATTTTAAATAAAACCCATGTCTTAACAGTGAGGTTTCCCCCAACTCTGCAAGAGGAATAATTCTGACCGTTACAGAATAACGACTTTTCAGGGCTATGCACAAAGTAGTGTGTGTCGGCCAGTGTTTGCGTTGGCATTCTTTGCTGCAGTAAGAAGCAATGTGACACGTTGGACACTTCATAAGGTGAATTTCCACATCACTTGAGCGGCGGCAAAATGTACATCCATTGTAAACTCGCTCAACAACCTCTCTCGGGTGATACATGCCTTCCTTGTTGTTAAATACTTTATTTCCAGCGAGAATGGGAGGTTTTGTGTAAATCTCGGACTTTTCTCCTCTTGGAATGTAAACAGGGTTCCTTATATCGCGCGACAAGAATCTTTCATCAACAGGAAAACTGTCAATGGTTTTTGGAAACTCAAGCCACGGGCCACCATGGTCTCGGACAATGTTTGATTCCAGATGAATTCGCCCAGAAAAATTAATCCCAATGAAAATGCCACCACATTTGTTGCCAGAGATAACGTTTCCTGTTATATTTGCGGAGGTTCGTGTTTTGGCGAAGATACCCCAAAATCCATTCTCGAATATCCTGTTGTTACTGATTGAAAGGCGAGAATTATCATCTAGAGAAAGCCCAAACGGCCCGTTGTGATGAACATCATTGTTACGTATGTCTATCCTGTTCGCATTCGTGATGGCAAGCATGCCTTCTCTTCTATTTTCAAAAATCTTGTTACCAGTGATGTCACATTCGCCTGCATACGGACCGAGTATGATGCCGTGGTATCCGTTGTCGAATATCCTGTTTCCAGAGGCAATCAGTTTTCCTCCTTCTCTTGCTTCTAAGCCACCTTGATGGTTTTTGTACACTTCACATTTTCTCACCTCCATGCGGGCGTCTTCCTTTGCAACTAGTATACCTCCTCCACCACAGTCATGAATTGTACAATTTTCAATAAGTCCAAAGGCCCCATTTATAATCTGGACCCCAGGAGAACCTATAATGCCAGAGATGGAAGATGGTTCTCCAAATTTTCCCGTACGATTACAGACAGGCTCTCCTAAAGATGCTGCTATGCATCCAGGACCTCCGTTACATTCCGGAAAATCCTCGCAAGTTGTCCGGCCCCCTGAAATTCCGCATTGGTTCAAATGAATAATCCCTTTCTTTTCTTGGCAAACTAGACCAATGTTCTCCTTGGAGAAAATGATATTTTCGAAATAGCAGCTGGAACTAAAAATTGAGCAAAGGGTCGAACAGGTTAAAGTGATTCCCTTGCCTAGACCTACAATCTGGAGATCAGTGAAGGAAATGAATTCTTCTAAATTATACTCTCCTTCGTGCAAAAGCAAAGTTTCATTTTCCTTCGCCGTCAGTAGAGCTATAGCCAATTGCGTTTCATTCTTTATTTCTCTAGCTAAAAACGAACGTACTTCTGGAAACATTTCACAAAACTTTACGTTACTTTGAAGACTAGAATCAAAGAACACAGCCAGTGTCAGCGTTGCTCTCCTTTGCCCATTAAGGTGATCAGCTCCGCCCTTAACGAGATCATAAAGAGCCCAGGTCTTCCGTTGAAGTGCCTTGCTGTATCGGGGATTTAATGAAAGGCACTTTTCACAGTCATCAAGAGCTCGCTGTGGCCGGCCGAGTTTTAAATAGCAAAGAGCTCGGTTGGCGAAGAGTCGATAGTCCTCGACATTCAAATCAATGGCAGTAGAATAAAGGTCCAACGCATCTTCAAACTTACGACTTTGCACTGCAAGGTTTCCTTGTTCCCTTATCTGGTCAGCCTGTTTCTCCCTGTCCATACAAGAATTTCCTGCCACATTCAGGGAATTGCCTTCAGAAGCTGGTTGTCTCATGCAGTGAGAAATCAGCTTGTAGTCCCTGTCCTTTAAAGGGATATCGATGAAATACGTAAACAATTTAGTGCCATCCTCTGTGGTCGGCTTTGTGAGGTTCACCAGTGATTGGAGCTTTAGTTCTTGTACTTCTTGAGCTTTAACTTTCTCTTGGGAAATACTGAAGAATATACCTGCTTCATTGAAGACACGCACGCTTTCTTCAGTGTGCAGCAGGGTATGGACTGACTCTTTGTGCTTGGCGGAGTAATCGCGCAAATGCTCCTGCAAATACGTGGAATGTAAGGCCAACTTACCCCACAGACGCAACGAAGGGGGATTCTCTATACTAAAAACAGCGTCTTCAACGAAACTTTCGCACACTTCTGCCGGAGAGCGAGTATTTTCCAACGCGTGGTGAAGAATACACACTGCACGATAGAGAACATTCAATTCAATTTTCCCCTTTTTCAGCTGGCTTCGAATCACCTCTTGCACTAAACGATGAACGCTAAACGAATTTGTTCCGTATCTTTGAAACAGCGAAAACTTAGTAAGAAGAGACATTATTTCAGCTTGATCCCATACACCGCTTTCCTCTTCAGAACTGCCATCTTCCTTTAGCCCTTCATTAACCAACTCGTATGGAATGTCATCCGGGCCATAAAAAGCACAAACCTGCATAAAACGAATGGGAGCTTCTCCAAGTTCCATCTCTTTTGAGATGTGATTGATGTGATCAAAATTCAACATCCATGTTGTGTGGACAGCTAGCCGCTCAGCAGACGTGTTTTCCACAAATAGTTGGGCCTTTTTCTTTTTTAATAGAAGCAGCTTCTGCTTCCTGAATTTCTCCACATACTCCTTTATGGACTGTTTAACCCACCTTATATAGGCCCCAGCTTGATCAAGGGCTAGAGGCAGTCCTCCAAGTTCTCTGACCAGTTCACGTAAGTCGTTTTCTTCTTTTTCAGCTTTCCCTGTTCGCATCCATAGGAACTGAATGCCTTCTTCTTCTGTTAAGCATTTTAAGTCAATGCAACACTGCTCGTCAATTCCTGTTTCTTCTCCAATTTCTGAAACCTCCCTTCTTGTTGTTATGATGATGTGACCACGAGCCATACTTTTCCAGTGACCAGTAAGCAGCTTACGCATTTCTGTGGACATTTCTAACTCGTCAAGATTATCGACGACCAAACACCACATATCGTCGCGTTTTCCAAGCCAATCAAGGGTCCTCGACAAGGATTTGTCAAAATCGTTTTCGAACGTTCCAATTTGACGTGCCATCTCCCCGACGGACCTTTGAAAAAGATTATTATTTTCGCCAGAAATCCAGAATATACCCCCGGGATATTCTTTATTATTTCGCCAAAGAAATTCTACTGCGAGAGACGTTTTACCAACACCACCGAGACCACAAATAGCTGAGTGTATACATCCATTTGGGGTGTTTTTTAGTTTCGCTACAATTGCTTCTAATTCCCTATCGCGACCACAAAAGCAACGATTGCGGCTGGGTACTTGAAAAATTTTAGCATTTGTTCTCTTGGAACTCCCCTTTTCTAGGGCGTCAACCCTCGCATCTAACTGACTTTGCTCCCTTTTTAAAGCCCCTACATCAGCAGTTAAACGAGTTTGTTCATCTGTTACAAACGATACAGTTGTTTCTAAATCGCTTTGCTTTTCTTTCAACAGAGAAATGTCCCCTTCATTAGCATCTATACGTTTGTGTACTTCTTCTACGTTGCCTGAAATATTTGCAATTGCATCCGACGAAGCTTCCTCTTTTTCTAACCGCTCCATTCGTTCTGCTTCCACTTTTCTTTCAATCTCAGTTATTCGCTTGTCAAAGTTATCAATTTCGTCTCTGATAATTTGAAGGGCAGCACTTATCTTGTTGGCTTCATCGGCGCTGGACTGCTTTAAGTTATCCACCTCCTTTTCCAGGTTGCAAACTTCAACACTGATAAGGTTCATTAAATCCTTATCCACTGGGCAGCCCATGCACAGTTGTAAGCCTATAAATTAAGATTGCCATCTAGTAAATTAATACAACCCCAAACAAATCAATAAATACAAACGCCCTCTATGTTTCTCGTCATGTCTGTAATTAAGCCACCCTCTCCCCCCCCCACCCCCCAAAGGAACATCTGATATAACTTTATCTTTGATGTAAAGTTGGTATATACGTCCAATACCTTACCCGTTCAGTAATACGTACCCTTAGTTTCCCAGTCTTGAAGTTCATCAAGTTGTTTGTCTTCATCAGCCTTTGGTAGCCCCAGTGAACGAACCATGGTCTCCATAAGTTGAAAACTGTTCTGGAACTCTAGCTCAGTCCAGTGGTCAAAGTTGCAGTGTCCCCACTCATTTCTTACTTTAGAGCGCACATCCTTGGCATTGGTCTGGACACGATTGTGAAAAACAGACGCCCTCTCCAGAATCCCCAGGACTGCTGACAGGTCACAGGTGTTATCAAATCCTACAAATGCACAGTGCATTTCAAACAGTTAGGACTACCGAGGTGGAGTTATATATATCATCCGCAGTGTCAAAAAGTTACCTCCATGATTGGAGTAAATATGGAGTTAAAACGATCCCCAAAAAGAAGTAGCCCTGTACCTTAAGCATAAAAATAGCTCCGAATTTAAGAGACGCATGCCTTTGTTTTCCAAGTAAACCATTAGCCTTCAGGTGAACTTGAGGATGGAGTTGACTTCGTTTCAGTTGAAAACTTTCGGTTTTTCACATGCAGATCAAGTTGAAATAATATCAGATTGCATACAAATTGCACGACTGACACAACAAAAGCGGGAACAGTTGTAACAAAAGAGGTAAACTGGAGCCTTGCGTACAACCCCCCACCTCCCTGAGGCTTACACCACAACTTTAAACTGAATAATGCTTCTTGTTTCTTGTGATGCTTCGTGTTGTAAAAGAGAAATCAAGGAAATGACGAGCAAGTTCTGTTCAAGTTTTAAATGCACCAGACTTGAACTTGATAAAAAGGCCAACTAAACCATACAACAGATTTATATTTAGACACTGTACTAAGAGTTGAAGCTATCACACTTTAAAAGTCATTTTGTCAGGACATCATGGAAAAAGCATCTTGTTTAATACAAGCAGTATATTGTGTATGAATCAAAATTTTTACTACTGTATGGCATAGTTAGGACGCTCCTCATAGAAGACCCACTGCTGAGGAGAATTTTCAAAAGTGGTGTTGTCCCTGAACCTGTCTGCCTAATGATCCTCACTAAGTAAGCGTAGATGACATTCTTCAATGCAGTTTTCTAGCTTTTGGCCCTCAATTTGGCTTTTAATATTGGAAGGAATTTGTGATATTTCCAAAGAGAGATGATCTAGTTTTCGCAACTGTACGTTTAAAGCAAGAAAACTGATTCGCATACATTATTTGTTTAAAGGACAAGTCATTCGGCACGCTCTTATTTTGAGTACCTGTAAACTTGGCCATGTGTGGCTCAAGATAAAGTTTAGCCAAGTCTTCAGCGGTTCCAACTTTGTAATCATATGAACGCACTTTTTTCTTAAAATTCCACCAATTATTGTTGATGCTTCCATAGTTAAGCTGAAATGGTCCATCATGAACCGAATGTTTTCCATAGACTTGAGTGTCAATTCCATGAACAGTCTTCAGGGATGCGTAGTGTTTGGGAATTTCTTGAGCCACAAAATCCCGGAGGACTGGTAAGAGAAGTCTGTTCAAGCAAATCCCGATCACGACCCATCTCTTTTGGTTCTTTTCAAGGTCAAAACTGCTGGCTAAAAGAATATGGCATAAAAATCAGAACAATTCAAAAAGAAGTTGACTCATCTAATTTGTCCATCAGTCGTATAAAACGAAAAAAATAGCCGTTTCAAAGAAAATCATTGAGAGCGGCAGGGGCAATTGGCCCCCATGCCATCCATGGACAGCTGTTTTTGCCCTTTTTAAGAATCAATAGCATGGCAAAGGCGTCAACCAATAAATTAATGTACTGTTCCATACGTGGTAGTCTGCATCAAGGGTGGGTTCAGTATAATAAACTACGTCCCTTAAATATATTAGTGCTGATAATTGACTCTTCTTACCAGGTCCAGCAGCAGTTGGGCCTCCAGGCAGAACGGTGGGTGCAGCAGGAGTACCTGGCGGTATTGGTGACATAAACGGTATTACACGCCCACCAGTTGCTCCTCCCGTTGCCATGACGACCTGAAAAACGGATCTGTATTACAAAGCAACCACCGCAAGTCATAATCTTATTGGCTATTTGTAGTCCTGGCATTTTCAGCAGTAATACAATCGGCCCTTTCATTGTTTTTTTTTTTAACTTTCGACTGGGACCAGTTAGCGAAAATCCGCCAACAAGGCTAAAAAGAACGCCTTTAAATCAGGAAAGACGCTTGCAAGTTTGAACGTGAAAGTCACCGTATTTTACAGAAGTTTGTATGGTGGAGGGAAAGTTCATGCCTCGTACTATACATACGTCACCGAGAGTGAAATTTCTCGACTTTGCGGAGCAATATCTTCGGTCGCTTAAAATGATAAGGAGCTCTTTCCAGCAGTGATTTTTCAATTATCAAAATTCGGAAAAAAAAAGGGTGGAAGGGTCTACTGAGGCCGTCTTAGGAGGGAGGGGAGTGAAAGTATGTCCCTAGTCTAAATTTCAAGTACGGTCATTTCGCCTTTTGAGGAAGGCAATTTTCTTGTCGGTATTTAACCCATCTTCGAGTCGTTTGTCCGTTTGTCGCCATTTCATCTTGTCTTATGTTGCTGTTTCAAGGGCGGCCATGTCGCTGGGCCATGCCTCTCGTATTTTTGTTTGGAATTTGCCATTTGCACATCTTCCATAATGCACCTTTTTTGCTCCCCTATGCCAAATTGTGCATAACCTTTGTTTTTGATTTCTCCTGGGTATTACAGTGGTCCCAAGACAAATAAAAGAAAATGCTTATGCAAAATATTGGGGGGCAAAGAAGGTGTATTGTGGGAGATGTGCAAATGTCGAATTTCGTTATAATGAGGATTGGCAAATCTAAGGTGCAGCTCATTTTTGACGGTCCCAAACGTTTGCAGACTTATTCTTGTATTTTTAGTTCATAAAATCCTACCATCACGCCAAATCTATTTGGCGTGATGTCCCAAACGATTTTGCCGACATAACGATATTTAGATTTAGATTTAGATATGTTTAGTTCCGCGACGTTTAATAAAACCTGCCGCGTAGGGTTTACTTGGCCATTGATGGATGAAGGGTGAACGAGGAACCAATGTTTCGTCATTAATACAGGCGCATTGAGCTATGACGAACTTTCGTAATAACTTTTTCGTTTTTAACGCGATGGTTCAGAAACTTTCCAAAGAATTACAAATATCATTCAGCAATAATACGAAATATTCTGATTTCATTGGTGGTAAACATTTTTTGCGAAATCGCCGCTTAAGTAGTCCCTACTGACTGTTTATAGAACATTTTGCTGATATTTGTTACTGAAATTTCTGGTATCGGCTTTTATTGATATAATAAATACGCCATAGAAATTTCAGAGAAATCGTTGGAGCAAGTTGCGTAACTAAAAGTCGTTCAAAATTCAGCTTTGAAATTGTTTTGGAATTTCAAAACTAAATTGCTTTGAATTTGGAACCACTTTTGGTTACGGACTTCTGCTCCAACGATTTGTCTGAAATTTCTCTGGCATATTTGTTATATTAATAAAAGCCGATACCAGAAATTTCAGTAAAAAATATCAGCAAAATCTTTTACTAGAAGCGATTTTCTATAAACAGTAGGGTCTGCCAAGCGCTAATTTCGAAAAAAAAAATTACCAACAATGGAATCGGAATATTTCGTATTACTGAATGATATCTGTTGTTCTTTGCAAAGTTTCTCAGCCATCGCGTTAAAAACGAAAAAAGGTATGACGAAAAGTTTGTCACAGATCAAAGCGCCTGTATTAATAACGGAGCAACCTTAAAGTTGAATATTTTACAGGGAATCGCTGCCAGGATTACTACTGGGAATGGCCTACGTCTGGACGAAAAGAGTTTCTGCATTACCTGCTTGGTTATATCAATTATAATCTTTTGATGATAACTTTCATTAGGAAGTTTTAGCACATCATTCGAACGTATTTCATGAACGTAACTGTTCGAGCGATGTGCTCGTTACGCCTCACCTGTTTTTCAGTCATATTTCAAAAACAAGCAAAAACACAGTCGTTCTATAGACAGTCTGCCCGTCTGCTCCCTCGATCATAGGGCATTTGTGTTCTCGATTATCTAGGATTAGGCATTCGCAAATCTACGTGTTTTAACTGTGTAATAACAGATGTGCCGGTAAATTGTACAGTATGTGGCCCTTGGTCCGCGACTTTTTCGAACATGAAGAAATATTTCGTCTAAAAAAAAATACGGAAAAAAATGAATGTTTCCGATGCTTTATTGATTAGTCTTCTTTCATATGGCGAAGTTTTGGCTTTCCTGCGGTTGCTGAAGGAACAAAATTCAAGTTTGTTGACAGGTAGGTTAATTTGTCTTCCTTGAAGTTTGTACTTTTGCGGCACCGTAAATTTACTTGGCCTGTGAATAAATAAAACGCAAAGGGGAAGAAGTGCCTTTTTGCAGGACGGGTTTTCAGATAACACTTTTTCTGCCGTTGGAAGCAAATTTGCTGTAGACTTTGAATTTTTTCTTTATCGACTCTTGGAAAATATCACCAAATTTCGCGTAGTGGTCCTTGGTCCACGACCTATGACTTTTGGTGTAATTACATTACATAAATGGAATGTGTCAAAAATATACCTTATACATGTTTACGAAATCTCTTTTCTTAATATCTTAAATATATACTTTATTACTGTGTTTTTAGTATTAGTTGAATATGTTCTCTACATTTTGATTTTTCATAGGGTGAAAATTAAGGTGTTGTATTTTTATTTTTCCCTAAGCTGAGCGCTGAGTATTAATCTATTGTTGGAATTACATATGATAATTTATGCCTTTCAATGAACATTTCTGATTGGTTAATTTCACAATGAACTTTTGACATGTGCTTGGCTTATTGGTTCTGTTCTGTTCCGTTTTTCTTCTCGCCACGTGAAGTGTAACACAGCGAATCTTTAAGGAATAAATGTCCTAATAGTAGCGAATGGACTGAATCATTCTAACAGGTTATGGGCCCAGGACGCTAAACCAATGCTCTAAGTTATGGATTGTTATTTTACCAAAGCGTATGGCGGAGACGTCGGTGTCAGAGATCACAAAGAACGAAAAGTTGAACGGGAGAAATTACCGGTTATGGAAGTACAACGTAAAGCTCGTTTTAATGAAGAGTGGTCTGTGGGGTTTCACTCAAGAAGGCTAAGAAATTCGTCCTGCAAATGATGCATCTGCAGCGGTAAAGAATGCTTTTCGCCTTCGATCTGACAAAGCTTATTCGCTCATTGCGTTGAACGTAGAAAAGGATCTGTCGGTGACAGACCCGCTCCCTGTGTGGAAAATTTTGCAGAAGCAATTCGAATTTGTGTCAGTCACCCAGATTGTTCGTCTTAATCGCCAGTTTTGCGCAGCAAGTATAAAGGAAGGCGCAGATTTGATGCAACATTTGACTCACATGACTTCCCTTGCGGAACAATTAGGAGAAATGAATGAAAACATTTCGTCAAAGAAATTTGCTACGGTCGTGTTAGGAAGTTTACGCGAGTCGCATGATAATTTCTTGACAAGTTTAAGCGCCCGAAGCGTCGATGATCTCGACCGGGAGAAAGTAAAAGGATTTTCGATTGAAGAATACATGAAGCGGACTGAGAAGAACGAGAAACAAGAATCTGATAATGCACTTTTTACCAGAGAAAAATCGTCGTATCGAGGAAGATTTCAACCACGTGGTGGAGCTAGTGGCGGTCGCGGTGGCCGATTTCAGAATTTTAATTTAATTAAATGCTCAGGCCAGCCGTGATGATCGTGATAAATACAGAGGTGTAAGTGCTTCAAATGCAACCAGGATGGACACATCGTAAAGAACTGTCCGTACATTAACAAACAGAGTACAGGGAAAAGAGAAAGTTCCAATACGGCCGAACTCGAAGGAGTTGCACTAATCTCAAGCACGATGAATAAGTCAAATGAATGGTTTATTGACTCAGCAGCGACAAAGCACATGACAAACAACAAAAGCATTTTAGAGAACTATGTTCAGTCCCAAGAACCAAGAAATAATTACCTGCGAGACAGCACAGTAATTCTTGCACATGGCAAAGGGAAATTCAAACTCCCTACAGTAAACAGTACCCGTGAAATTGTCCTTGACTTGCATCAAGTGTTGTTTGTACAAAAGCTGACTAAGAACTTACTTTCAGTACCTGCAATGGCGTTGATGGGAGCAGAAATTAACTTTGACAAGGATAAATGTTTAGTACGGAAGAATGGCCAAGAATCTGTTATTGGAAGTCTATTGGGTGACAAGCTGTACATAGTCAATTCTACCGACTACGCTCAAGTTTCAACAGCAAATAGTGCAGCATCACTTGCAGTTTGGCACCGCAGGTTGGGTCATCTCAACTACACCTATATGAATCAGTTGATGAAGAAAGTAATGGTTGACGGTTTGAACTATGATGCTGACACCCAATCCCAGAAAGAATGTGAAGCATGTGTTCTTGGCAAAATGCAGAAGAAGCCCTTTCCACTGAACAGAGCCAACACAGGGCAACCAGACCATACGAGATTGTACACAGTGATGTATGTGGCCCAATGCAAGTGGAATCAAAAGGCGGCAGTAAATATATGCTCACATTCAC